CAGCTGCCCCCTGGGTAGCCTACCTCCAAACTAGCCTGCCTCCTAGCCAGCCTGCCTCCTAGGCAGCCTGCCTCCTAACCAGCCTGCCTCCTAGCCAACCTGCCTCCTAGCTAGCCTGCCTCCTAGCCAGCCTGCCTCCTAACCAGCTTGCCACCTAGGCAGCCTGCCACCTAGCCAGCCTGCCTCCTAGCCAGCCTGCCTCCTAGCCAGCCTGCCTCCTAGCCAGTCTGCCTCCTAGACAGCCTCCCTCCTAGGTAGCCTGCCTCCAAGCTAGCCTGCCTCCTAGCCAGCCTGCCTCCTAGCTAGCCTGCCTCCTAACCAGCCTGCCTCCTAGCCAACCTGCCTCCTAGCTAGCCTGCCTCCTGGCCAGCGTGCCTCCTAACCAGCTTGCCACCTAGGCAGCCTGCCACCTAGGCAGCCTGCCTCCTAACCAGCCTGCCTCCTAGCCAGCCTAACTCCTAGCCAGACTGTCTCCTAGCCAGCCTGCCAAAGAGCCAGACTGCCTCCTAGCCAGTCTGCCTCCTATCTAGCCTGCCTCCTAGCCAGCCTGCCTCCTAGCCAGCCTGCCACATAGCCATCATGCCTCCTAGCCAGTCTGCCTCCTAGCCAGCCTGCTTCCTAGTCAGCCTGCCTCCTAGCCAGGCTGCCTGCTAGCCAGCCTGCCAAAGAGCCAGCCTGTCACCTAACCAGCCTGCCTCCTAGCGAGCCTACCTCCTAGGCAGCTTGCCATCTAGGCAATCTGCCACCTAGCAAGCCTGCCTCCTAGCCAGCCTGCCACGTAGCCAGACTGCCTCCTAGTTAGTCTGCCTCCTAGCTAGCCTGCCTCCTAGCCAGCCTGCCTCCTAGCCAGCCTGCCTCCTAGCCAGCCTGCCTCCTAGCCAGCCTGCCTCCTAGCCAGCCTGCCTCCTAGCCAGCCTGCCTCCTAGCCAGCCTGCCTCCTAGCCAGCCTGATACCTATCCAGCCTGCCACCTAGCCAGCCTGCCTCACTCACCTGGTTGCTAGGACAGATCTTGTCACAGCCACACTTACAGCCAGTGTGAACCTCCACATTCACCTCCAGACACCTCCTGCTCCTCCCAGCACCGTGCACATACACCTGCGGGCGTGCACAACAGTTAGACTTATGGACGTGTAGGAGGGGCTGTGGGCGTGTGTGAGGACTGTGGGGGTGTGGTATGGACTATGGGCGTGCGGGAGGCGCTATGAGCGTGTGGGAGGGAATGTGGGCGTGTGGGAGGGACTGTGGGCGTGTGGGACTATGGGCGTGTGGGAGTTACTATGGGCGTGTGGGAGGGACTGTGAGCGCTTGGGAGGGGCTGTGGGCGTGTGAGAGGGGTTGTGGGCGTGTGGAAGGGACTGTGGGGGTGTGGTAGGGACTATGGGCGTGCGGGAGGCGCTATGAGCGTGTGGGAGGGAATGTGGGCGAGTGGGAGGGACTGTGAGCGTGTGGCAGGGACTATGGGCGTGTGGGAGTTACTGTGGGCGTGTGGGAAGGGCTGTAGGCGTTTGGGAGTTACTATGGGCGTGTGGGAGGGGCTGTGGGCATGTGGAAGGTACTATGGGCGTGTGGGAGTTACTATGGGCGTGTGGAAGGGGCTGTGGGCGTGTGGAAGGAACTATGGACTTGTGGGAGTTACTATGGGAGTGGTGGAGGGACTGTGGGCGTGTGAGGGGATTATTGGAGTGTGGGAGGGGCTATGGGCGTGTGGTAGGGACTGTGGGCGTGTGGGAGAGACTGTAGGCGTGTGGGAGGGACTGTGGGCGTGTGGAAGGGGCTGTGAGCGTGTGGGAGGGACTGTGGGCGTGAGGAAGGGAGTGTGAGAGTGTGGGAGGGGCTATGGGCGTGTGGGAGGGACTGTGGGCGTGTGAGAGGGACTTGGGCGTGTGGGAGGGGCTATGGGCGTGTGGGAGGGACTGTGGGGGTGTAGGAGGGATGTGGGCGTGTGGGAGAGACTGTGGGGGTGTGGGAGGGACTGTGGGGGTGTGGGAGGGACTGTGGGGGTGTGGGAGGGATTGTGGGGGTGTTGGAGGGACTGTGGGGGTGTGTGAGGGACTGTGGGGGTGTGGGAGGGACTGTGGGGTGTGGAAGGGTCTATGGGATGTGGGAGGAACTGTTGTGTGGAGGGACTGTACCGTGTAGGTGAGGGAATGTTGGCGTGTGGTGTGGGGCTAATGGGCGTGTGGGAGTAACAGTGGCGTGTGGGAGAGATTGTGGGCGTGTGGAGAGATTGTGAGAGTGTGGGAGGGCTATAGGCATGTGGAAGTGAACTGTGGGGGTGTAAATAACCGTGTGTAAATCATACAGGTAAACGACTTTAAGAATTCTTCGAAAATCTTTGTAAATCATTCAGTGTATATAACTGTAAATGATTGTAAATAACTGTAAATGATTGTAAATAACTGTAAATGATTGTAAATAACTGTAAATGATTGTAATAACTGTAAAGATTGTAAATAACTGTAAATGATTGTAAATAACTGTGAATGATTGAAATCACTGTGAATGATTGTAAATACTGTAATGATTGTAAATAACTGTAAATGATTGTAAATAACTGTAAATGATTGTAAATAACTGTAAATGATTGTAAATACTGTAATGACTGTAAATACTGTAATGATTGTAAATAACTGTAAATGATTGTAAATCACTGTGAATGATTGTAAATAACTGTAAATGATTGTAAATAACTGTAAATTATTGTAAATAACTGTAAATGATTGTAAATCACTGTGAATGATTGTAAATCACTGCGAATGATTGTAAATAACTGTAAATGATTGTAAATAACTGTGAATGATTGTAAATAACTGTAAATGATTGTAAATAACTGTAAATGATTGTAAATAACTGTAAATGATTGTAAGTAACTGTAAATGATTGTAAATAACTGTAAATGATTGTAAATGGCTGTGAATGATTGTAAATAACTGTGAATGATTGTAAATAACTGTAAATGATTGTAAATAACTGTGAATGATTGTAAATAACTGTGAATAATTGTAAATAACTGTGAATGATTGTAAATAACTGTGAATGATTGTAAATAACTGTGAATGATTGTAAATAACTGTGAATGATTGTAAATCACTGTGAATGATTGTAAATCACTGTGAATGATTGTAAATAACTGGAAATGATTGTAAATCACTGTGAATGATTGTAATAACTGTAATGATTGTAAATAACTGTGAATGATGTAAATCACTGTAAATATTGTAAATTAACTGTAATGATTGTAAATAAACTGTAATGATTGTAAATCACTGTGAAATGATTGTAAATAACTGTAATGATTGTAAATAACTGTAATGAATGTAAATAACTGTAAAGGATTGTAAGTAACTGTAAATGATTGTAAATAACTGTAAATGATTGTAAATAACTGTGAATGATTGTAAATAACTGTGAAATGATTGTAAATCACATGTGAAATGATTGTAAATAAACTGTGAAATGATTGTAAATAACTGTAAATGATTGTAAATAACTGTGAATGATTGTAAATCACTGTGAATGATTGTAAATGACTGTGAATGATTGTAAATAACTGTAAATGATAATAAATAACTGTGAATGATTGTAAATAACTGTGAATGATTGTAAATAACTGTAAATGATTGTAAATAACTGTAAATGATTGTAAATCACTGTGAATGATTGTAAATAACTGTAAATGATTGTAAATAACTGTAAATGATTGTAAATAACTGTAAATGATTGTAAATATCTGTAAATGATTGTAAATCACTGTGAATGATTGTAAATAACTGTAAATGATTGTAAATAACTGTAAATGATTGTAAATAACTGTAAATGATTGTAAATCACTGTGAATGACTGTAAATAACTGTGAATGATTGTAAATAACTGTAAATGATTGTAAATAACTGTAAATGATTGTAAATAACTGTAAATGATTGTAAGTAACTGTAAATGATTGTAAATAACTGTAAATGATTGTAAATAACTGTGAATGATTGTAAATAACTGTGAATGTTTGTAAATCACTGTGAATGATTGTAAATAACTGTGAATGATTGTAAATAACTGTAAATGATTGTAAATAACTGTGAATGATTGTAAATAACTGTAAATGATTGTAAATCACTGTGAATGATTGTAAATAACTGTAAATGATTGTAAATTACTGTGAATGATTGTAAATAAATGTAAATGATTGTAAATTACTGTGAATGATTGTAAATAACTGTAAATGATTGTAAATCACTGTGAATGATTGTAAATAACTGTAAATGATTGCAAATAACTGGATAGTTAAATGATTGTCAAATAACTGTGAATGGAATTGTAAAATTAACTGTAAATGATTGTAAATAACTGTAAATGATTGTAAATAATTGTGAATGATTGTGAATAACTGTGAATGATAGTAAATCACTGTGAATGATTGTAAATGACTGTGAATGATTGTAAATAACTGTAAATGATTGTAAATAACTGTGAATGATTGTAAATAACTGTGAATGATTGTAAATAACTGTAAATGATTGTAAATAACTGTAAATGATTGTAAATAACTGTAAATGATTGTAAATCACTGTGAATGATTGTAAATCACTGTGAATGATTGTAAATAACTGCAAATGATTGTAAATAACTGTTAATGATTGCAATTAACTGTAAATGATTGTAAATAACTGTAAATGATTGTAAATAACTGTAAATGATTGCAAGTAACTGTAAATGATTGTAAATAACTGTAAATGATTGTAAATAACTGTGAATGATTGTAAATAACTGTAAATGTTTGTAAATCACTGTGAATGATTGTAAATAACTGTAAATGATTGTAAATAACTGTAAATGATTGTAAATAACTGTGAATGATTGTAAATAACTGTAAATGATTGTAAATCACGGAGAATGATTGTAAATACCTGTAAATGATTGTAAATCACTGTGAATGATTGTAAATATCTGTAAATGATTGCAAATAACTGTAAATGATTGTAAATAACTGTGAATGATTGTAAA